GCCACCCATGGCCATACTCTCAAGGAGTCTGGGCAATATTCCTAAAGTGTCTGTTACCCTTAGACAAAACCAAAGCAATATTTCCAAGAAATACAAATATTTTAACTACCCAAGGATGTTGAAGAAACTGAGAAGTCACTGTAATTGAGCGAGAAGAAGGTAGCAAAGGTGCTACTCTGTATTTCCTCCACAAAAACCTCTCGGAGTGAGAAGTATAATTGTTAATCGTCTCCATGAGATGGTACCAGAAGCACAGTAATGGCTTCAGTACAGAGCCCAAACACCAGATTAAGCTCAAGGTCAGTGTTCTGTTAACAAACCTCCCAAGCAAAACACCACTGATCGCTACAGAGCACAGCAAACCGCAAAAGCCAACACAAATCTTTAGCGGATACATCAACAAAAATGAGCACGGCACAGATCGGGTAAACTAATATCGAGAACAAATCAATCAATATCGTGACTCGCAACTGTTAACAGCTATAAATCCCTTCAATACACTCCGAGCAATCTGTTATGATCTCAAACCCCTCGAAGCCCAACGTTAGGCACCAAAAAGGACTGTCGTGGTTTAACTCCATCCAGCAATAAAGCACCACAGAGCCGCTGGCTCACTCCCCCACGGTGGGATGGGGGGGAACTGGAAGAGTAAAAGTGAGAGAAGTTGTGGGTTGAGGTAAAGACAGTTTAATAACTGAAATAGAATGAAATTAAAATTTAAAAAAATATATTGTAATGAAAAGGAAAATAACCAGAAAGAGAGAGAAACAAAACCCAAGAAAGACAAGTGATGCAAATGAAAAACAATTATCCATCACCAGACGCCTGATGCCCAGCCAGTCCCTGAGCAGTGGACCCCAGACAACTTTCCCCTAGATACGCCGAGTACGACGTCCTATGGTCTGAGATATCCCTGGGGTCAGTTGGGGTCAGCTGGGTCCCCTCCCAGGTCCTCGAGCCCCCCCAGCCCCTCGCTGGTGGGTGCTGTGAGGAGCAGGAAAGGCCTTGGCTCTGTGTAAGCGCTGCTCAGCGATAACCAAAACATCCCTGTATTATCAACAGTTTCCAGCACAAATCAAATCCACAGCTACTATGAAGAAAACTAACTCTACTCCTGCCAAAAGCAGCACAGACGACTGGCTCTCACACAAACAGGGTTATTTCCATCGTGCCGTTGACCCAGAAAGCAGAATGTTGGTCAGGGATGCTACTCAGGTCTCCAGTTATCTTCTACTTGCAGACATCAAAGCTCTGTACAGTCTACTCCCTGACACTATAAATTGAAAAAAAAAATCATAAAAATTAGGATGAACAGGTCACAAAGATTTTATTTTTTTAAAAATTAAAAGTTCCTTTTCAGAGAAAATGTAACAATAATAGTAATCATTAATAGCACACTAAGCCTATTGTACTGCTATTAGGAAAATGGTTAGAGACATGCCAGTGATGTAATCTTGTAGATTAACTCTGCTGGTACAAACCTAGCTTCACTATACTTGACTTCAGTGGAGAGATTCCAAATTCACACATCTGAAAATGCTCACAAAATTCGTTGAGTAATGCTTCCTTATTAAGAAGACTTATAAGCCTAAAACTTAATGAAGGACATCCCGTATATCAAGGCATAGGTTGATTCTGGTTCTGTGTAACAGCTTCTAAATTCAGAAACAATTACTGGGCTCAGGCTAGAGGAACCAGAGTTTGAGCTCATATTCCTCAAGACTTGAGAACAAAGTGTAAACACTCTGAGTCATCCTCGTGGTGGTTCAAAGCCACTTACTCTGGCTCTAAAGCGCCTATTAAGAACACAGTTATAGCAGAAACCTGAAGCTTTTTATCTTCTCGTACTTATTAGGGAGGTTGGGCTTTTCTTTTCCAAAACGCAGTGTTTAATTTCCCGTGTAAGAAGAAACATTAAAAAGTGACACAAGTCAACAGAATACGGATTATTGGCTTATTATATTCTGAAAAGACAAACGCAGGGGAAAATGAATGTAGTAATGTTTCACTCTGCAGAAAACACTGTGAAACCAGCAAATAGGGTGGCGGGATTTTATTAGAGAAAATGCTAATTAACTACCACATACAGTCATCTAAAATCATACCCTGTAGTATCCCTGCCAAATTTCTACAATATTCTCATTACTATTGTGCTAAAATGGCTGTCTTTTAAAACTATTTTTGTATACTGATTGTTTAAAGAGAAATGACTATTGCATTAAACAAAGCCAAGTTGTGTTTTTATTTTACATCCGTAAGGACAGCAAACATTTACGGTAAGACCCTTAAATCATCATCACCCCTTCAGCAACCTACAGGAAACACAGTGTTACTTAAATCTTATCAAAGCTGTCAAGCACTTTCCGGTGGTACCTATTCAATCACTGCTAGTTCAGTGATCTTGCATGTAAAAATGAACTTATCTCCAATCCAGCTAGTCTCATTGTTTGATTCAGTGAGGGATGCAACAATCAAATTGTTTGTAATATCACAATCCATCACCAGACGTACCAATTTGATGACACAGTCACTGAACTGGGGTCTTAATAAAATCAAACGCGAGAAACAGGCTAAACAGAGGTCTGGAGTAAGGATCTCACTGAGGAAAAAAAAAAACCAAAACACACCCAGCAGTTGTACCCATTAACTAAATGTCTTGTATAAAAGCAGTGGGGACACGTTCTTGCTTTCACTGGTCAAATCTCCAAGGACAATATTTGGTCAAAGAATTAGACTAACCAAAAAGATTAAGAGCCCAGCACAGAGAAGCAGGTAAACACAAAGTCACAAGCACATGATTAATCTTACTGAAGACACGTGAATTATATACATGTTACGCTCAGGGTTACGCTCAAGTGAAGGATAAACTCGAACCTGTTTGCTGAAATTACTCATACTGAAGCCTGGCCGTAAGATTAACAAGAAGGAATTTTGGTTTGTCTTACCTTGCCTGGTACCTGGCTTATTTTAAAAGGGTCTACGTTTCAGTTTTCATAATGATAAAAATCCAAGTCCAATGCAAGTCTTTCTACTCAGAGGGCAAAAACGTGACTCAAGACTACAGCGTGCCTTCTGCACAAGGATTATCTGCACTGAAGGAACGTCAAGCCCGAGAGTGTTTTTTTAAATCAAAGAAGAAACAGGCTCACGATAAATAAAAGTTAGTAACTAGTCTTTTCCCACCCATACACACATCTACGAGTATCAAAAACACACGGCGTAGCTGTTAACAGGCATCCGCCAACACTCTGTCCTTGTCACTGATGGAAATCGAAATATATCTGTCTTGCCATTCAGCTATTCTCTAAATTTAGAGATGAACAAATTTGGCTAAATTTGGATCAGATCACTTTCTGACTCACATTACCCGGCGAGTTAGCAATCCTTCACACACCACGTCACACGCAAAAAAGGCCCCGAACGCAACGCACCACCCCTCACCTCTGCGAGGCCCCGCACGCACGCAGGCAGAGCAGGGAGTTAAACGACAGGACACCATCCGAACAATTCTGATCTAAACAGCAAATCCAGCGCTTGCGGATTGAAATACGCCTTCCCAGAGCCAAATCTGGTCTAGTGCGAACCCACATAACTCCATCATTTGGAGCACAACTCCCAGGCAGTGAGGGTCTGCCATTCCCTACAGGAATATCTCCAGAGACAGATTTTTTTTTTTTTTCCTCTCACACACACAAACACTTTTAATTGCTTATTGTGTAGCAATTTAACTTGAAGTTTTACAAAATGGCTGTGATGTGAAGAAAAGATAACAACTAAACCCTAACATCAATAAGTGCTAATAAATATTAATGTAACATAAGCACCACTTTTATTGCAATGTGAAACCAGTTTATTATCCACAGATGAAATCAAATTGCTACCTTTATTACTGTCAGGAATGACTTCTAAGATATTTCTATTTACTACTTGAGTATTCATCAGCACTCTGTATTTACAGCATCTAGTCTCTCTCTCTCCCCTTCTCCCTCCCCTCCCCCAGTCATACACAGAGTAATTTAAGAGCAGTATTTTCTGATAGTTTTCCAATTAATTTAAATATAGACGCAAATGCACATGATGAGATTAGCAGCAGACCAATTGCCAAATCCTGATAGAGTCAGAAGACCAACAGGAAATCCTATCATGCCTGTATTTGCAATAGGAATATTGTAAGAAGATAAATACAGTTTGCAGTCTGGTATCAAACACTCAAAATTCCTGCAAATTATTCAACTACCCCGCAAACTCCGTGGATAATGAAAAAAAAAAAAAACAACAAAAAAACCCCACCACCCCACCTTTTGACAGTAAATAGAACGAAGACATTTGGCGATATTCCAAAGCCTTTCATTTCCTAAAGTGGTGCCTTTTATTTAAGTAACAGTACGTGTAGAATAAGTGGATGTTTTTATGCATCCTGTAATTTAGAAAACCTAAGAGATGATTTCCCCACCCCCTAAGCTGATCATCTTTCATTATTACAAACTGCACTTCAAGTTTGAACCGCACAGCCCTCGAATTTTCTATCCATCCCCCCGCGTTCTTGCTCCCCCATCTTAAATAGAACTAACTCGAGAATTCTGACATTGTCAAGAATGCTCGCACGGTAATTTCTGCGAGGCACAGACGGCCTCCAATTACAATGCAAGAGCTACAGTGTATTACCGTTTTTAGAGCATTCTTTTGGTGTTCTGAAGTGAATCAAAGCTCTCCATGGGAGCTACTCTGATTAGCGTCAAAACAATAATGTGCTATAAACTCCCAGCATCAGGACAAGGGACTCGGAACTTTGTTTACGTGGATGATATACAAGCGTGTATAAAAATATCACAGAAACTTCCACGTGGGGACTGCCGATATATTCCTACATTTTAAGACTCGCCTTATTAGGACGTTAAAATAGCTCCCAAGAAAAGGTGTGAAATTCAAGAAAATACATTTCCCTCCTTTAACCTGGTCTCTTTTGTTTGGTTCTCTCTATAGACAGGCCCATTAATTACCTCTGGCTGTAAGGACGCAGATATACAAAGAGGCTGAGAGCTCTGTCCTTCCGCGGTGTCAGGAATCCCTGACGGAACGAGTAGGTTTGGTTAATCTCCACCCGCTCGCGCTCCTCGGTAGAGGCTCTTCCCAGACTCTCGCAGGAGGAGAATCCACTCCAGAAGCGCTGAAGTAGCACATCCACACCCCCCTCCCGCTCCACATCAGCCTGCAGAAGGGACGTCTAGTGGCACCAAGACTGCGGGGGGCAGAACCAGAGCACGGTCTTCCGAACTGGGACTTGCTGTCGTTTAAGTTCTTGCTGCGTGGCGTTTGCCAGAGCCCACAGAACCCGGGTTGGAAAGGTCCCGCCTAGGTTCTTACAGAGAAATGTCAGACAGTCAGTGTGAGTCCACTTCTCCTTATCCTTTCCTGTTGAATACTCCACTGCCCTCTCTGGAAATTCCTGGCGAGGTGAGGAATACCGTGTTGGGCCTAATCAGGTTGTATTCAGTCGCTGAGAGTCTTTATTCAGTCTTTGATACCAGTGGGTGCTTGACCCTATTGTAGACCCAATGAAAATGCAGATTGAGAGAAGCAGAAATCCAGGCACTTTAGTTGTATTGACCATATACGTACGTCTGGGATATTTAAAAGGAAGCCATTTATAATCAGGAAGCATAAGTGCTTATTCTGAATCTGACATTTAAATATCCCATCAACAGCAACCAGCATTGCAAAACGGTTTAATTAACCTGAAAGGATGTAATTTTATGCTATTTAGCGAGAAATACAAATTTTAAAGTGCTTTTACGTGGTATATATCAGAGTAGTAAGGCCAAATCCTGCTCTTAGCTACCCATATTTAAATATGGAGTAAATTCATGTATCGCCCTTAAAAAAACCTGCAGCTAGGATGGTGTAAACACAAGCAGAATCTGTCACACTTACTCTATAATCCATTTCCTAAAATTACCGTGTTCTTCACAACGTTCTAATGGTAGAGTTAAAAGTTAGTAAAGCCCCAATGACAGAACAGATCTCTGGATGGCGTGTGGGGCTGTAAATCCTCGAGGTTCCCCCTCTCCTTGTCTTTATTATTAAATTCATTTGGCCGAGCCACCTCTCCTCTTCTACAAGAGGACAGATAACTTGCCTTAACGCTACCAAAGGATGATTCAGGAGACTGGGTATGTGGTACTGAACCCTCTGAGGTCCAGAACTAGAACAATCCAACGTTTTTGTCCCGCTCACGCTCACAGCGTGGCTGACACCCTGCTGGCAGACCCAGAGCCCTGATCCACTGGACGATGGACGTGTTGATGGAGGGTCTGGGCTCCCTCCCGCTCTGAGGCCCCAGAAGTCTCCTCATCTCTCTGCACTCCGATTTCCCCACAAATTGTCTTGCCTGCTTGCCTTAGATGCTCTTTAGCAGACGCTCCCTCCGACAGGTATGCCTTCAGTGTCTGCCACGGAGACCAAACAGGAAGGTTAATCAAGTAGTTAACATGCTAATAAGACTTTGCTTCAACTCTCTGCTTTACAAGGGCACCTGCGTGCCCCCGGGCAAGACATTTGGGGCCAGGCACCGCAAGCAGAATTTCCAGTGGGATTTAGGACAGGGAATACCTTCTGAGGTATCTCAGTCTTCACCTCTGCCTGTTGTAATCTCTGCAAAGTTCTTGACACAAAATTCCCTATCTATGCTAACGTTCTTTGCAGCAGCTCAGGTGGGATCCCTGAGAAGGTTTTTTGGTCCTTAGGAGCTCTCCACGGGTTCCTCTAACACTATCTAGTAGGACCACACTTCATCATTCCTCTCTCTGCAGTAACTCTGGGTTATGAAACCACGGGCATGACAGCATGGGCAGTACCACAACCTTCTCATCCTTGAGCCTGCCTGTTCCAAGTCTTCCTGCCACAGGTTTTCTGTGTAGCTCTGTTCTGTCCTGTCATTGCTAACAGAGCACTGCTACCACACCGAGTTGCCCTCATAAACTGGCAGAAGCAGATAGCTCAGAGTGCTAGCTTGGCCCTGGCAGGAGACCCAGCCCTCTCTCACATTTGAGGAGACTGTAAAAAAAAAAAAAAAAAAGGCACAATTTGGGGAAAGTCAGTAGGAACTCTGACCCACACAGAGCAACCATTGCTCTGTTCCTCCAGGAGAGACATCCAGAAGCCCGCACAGTGCCAGGTAAAATAAAGCTCAAGTACACCCTCAACAAAACTCTTCATCTTGAAATTCATGAGCCATCGCTGATGAATCAAGAAGGATCTAGCTGGTGTCACTGTCAGACCAGAAGGCACGGGCTCCAGAAATGCAAGGACTTGTTTGGTACGTTATCGACAGCCTGGCACTGCTGATGGCCAAACTACCTCCTGCAGATGGCCAAACTGACCATGGTGGTCATAATCCATAAGGCAATGTCTTCACTCTTCCCCTCCCCCTAGACCTACGTGGAGCCTCTGGATGTTTCTTTTGTCCTTCCCCGTGCTCACTAGTTGACCTTGGCACGCTGACATCAACGTGGATGCTGAAGACTGAGCAGCCGATCAAGAAGGAAGCACGAGGCAGATGGGTAAGGAGCTATGGCAAGAGCTAAAAGGGGCCGTAGCAGGCTCCAAGGACTTGTGGGACAGTTCTTGTTCCCAACGATGCCACGTGCAGCATGGACATGTCTGAGGCATGCTCAAAATGACCAAAAAGGCCAGTAGCGTGGCTGCCAGTACAGCAATCCCGCCTACGGCAACCCTTGGGAGCTTCCTGTGAAGAAGCATAAATGGATCCTTTATTTCTCAGTTTTCCAGCAGCCAAATGCAGAATAATGGCACCTTAGTCATAATAACTCCATATTGTGAGGATAAATTAACCATCGCTGTGTACTCAGGCACTGTGGTAACATGGATCATAGAAAAAAAGCTATATATAGCCACATAACCAATACAGATAAATATATCTATAAATAAAACCTCTAAGCACTACCGCAATACGAATAATAAAAGCCAAAAAGACTTAGTCATACGCGCAGGTGGATTTCCAATTATGGAGGAAGCACTTTTACAGAGAGCAGAGCGGAGCACATTAAGTGGGATGGTGAAGAGAAAAGGTAATAAATCATTCTACAAATAAATTATTCTGAAAAATGGCCATCATAGGCAGAGGTATGTTCTTAAACTTCTGGAATGCAGTTTTTCCTGGTAAATTGAACATACAGATAGCTAAGAAGTATATATGAGCATCCCCCTACATGTATAAAAGCCACTTTTTCCTGAAAAAAAAAAAAACCAAACGGATACCCGTGTAGCCCGCTCAATCTAAACAGGGATACAAGTAGTTCTTTCAGTCGTGGAGTTAATGAAGCATTTGTGGAGAACAGTTTACTATCTTGCCAAGAATTTATAGCACTATAAATCCTCATACGGTATTTTGCTTTGAAATCACCTCCCTGGGTAGACGAGCCCCAAGACGCAGCCGCACGTGCGCGGGGAAGCTCGCCAAAAGTTTTCTCCAGCTGACCCAGGGGAAGGGAAGCCCGGAGGGGTGCAGGAGGCAGATTTTATGCTGTTGCCTGCGAAGTTCTGACGGACGGGGAGCCAGTGCCTCGCTCAGAGGTTTTCAAAGAGCCGCACGGAGGGGACAGAGCATCACGCCCGGATCACAGACAAGAGACGGCGCTTTTATTTCAGCAACATCCGAGCGCTCCTACCAGCTGCTTCACACTTTAGAAGCCTCTGGGACTATCGGGGGGTGACCGGCGCACACACCGCACGTGACAGGTAGAGAGAGAGTTGATGCTGACGAAGTGAGAGCCCGGCAGCGTTCTCCAGGGTCAGGGGCTGCGCAAAGCTGGCTAAGCCAGCTGCAAACCACAGCTCCCCAGAACGGAGAAGTGGAGCTGCCCCAGAGGCAAAGGTTACCTTGAGCGTGAGCCACCCTGCGCCACATTTCCATGGAGCAACTTTGTGTGTTTGTATCGTGGTGCCTCTCGGCCCAGGGCAGAGACGCCCTTCCAGCGCTTTTTTTCTCTCACTGCAGCTCCTGAAAAGCGGTCTGGCAGCTGCACTCCCCCCTCCTTGCTTGTCCTCCCGATAGCTGGCTGATCCAACCGTCTTTCAGATGGCCAAAAGGCTTTCTGCTTTCCCCAAACTAGGTTCTGGGATGCCTGCTGGCCCTCGGTTTTGCTGTTTAGAAGAGAATGAGGAGGTAGCAGAGGGGCATTTTCTTTACCCGGTACATTGTTCCAGCACAGCAGATGGGACTTTGTCCTTCAGCAAAGCAACCTCTGATCCTACTTTCTGCCAGGAAATGGTGGCTGGGATAGGAAACAGCAAATACCGTATCAATACAACTACAATAAAAATGTAACTACAGAGGTTGGTATTAAAATTTCTTTATACCAAGAGTACATTGTAGGTACAGGCACGCTGATGTCCTACAACTATCCAGCAGCTCTAGGGCGTTCTCTACGCAGAACAGCAGTAGCGACTCTCTGAAGGCAAAGCACTCCTAGCTTGTATACAGCATATGCCAGCAAAATTCAGCTTATACCAACAAAATTGATCTTTTGCCAATGTAACTTGCTCCAGAACATCCAAATGAAGCCCTAAGCTTCATTTCTCTAAGCGGGAGAAAGAGCCGTGCTCTTGGCATCCCTGCACGTACACTTGCGTCGCTGTAGCTCCGTCAGACGTGGAGCGACACAGACTTCGTAGCCTGGGTGGACTCGGAAAAGCTGCCAAGGAACAGTGCAGACCTAGTGCCCGTTTCTGGAGCTCCCCATTTCCAGCGCTCACAGATCGCAATCACTGTTCACATCGCGGTGGTTCTTCCTTCAAACATAAGGTGTGGGAAATATCGAACCAGTCCTCCGGTATCTGTTATGAATCTATTTATTTAGATTCTTTTTTCAGTGCAGAAATGGCTTCCGTTATAGTCAACGACGTTTCAAAATCACTTTAAAAATCTGCTGGGTAAACAACAGCCTAAAATGAAAGTGCTGACACGCAGCTGCCCGAACCAGAATCTTCTGTAACAAACTTACTTTTAATCCTATCTATATTTGAAGGTTCTGTATTTAGATTATAGTGTCTGATGCCCTATTTTTTTTTCTGCTGAGTTTCATTTAGCATTTCATTCTTCCTGCTAGATACCACTTGAGATGACCGTACACACATCCTGATCCCCTTAAATGCTCTCGAGCAGAAACCACTGTTCAGAAACTCGTATCATTACATTTCATGCCCCTGCCCTTTCCCTCACTTTGCAGATGCAGAGGAATAGGCTACACTACACCAATAATCTCATTTACTACTATCAGCTTGCCACCTTAACCCAGTTTGCAGAAGGCTGTCATTATCCTCTATCTCACAAACTTCATACATTTCAGCAGAAAAAAACCCCAATTTTTCTGAGCCGTAACAACACCACAAAAAAAAACAAAAACAGAAGAAACAGTAAACACTTATTAATAAATGTCAGCAATGAAATTTCCCTCCAACTCTACAGGGCTAGCAGCTAAGGTGTTACTGCTATTGATCTGTAATCACCACTCCGGGAACAATCAAGAATAGCAACCATTGAGCAAGAATAGATTATTTTTTTTTTCATTGGACCAGAAAAAGAAACCTTGCAAAACAAATTTAATTTGGGCAGCGGAGTGATAATTAACATGCACCCCAGCACTGAGCTTCCTGACAGCTTAGGACCAAAGGTCAGCTTGCATTTTTTTTACATTTACAATTCAATATTTCTAATTGTTTTTAGCCCTGCCCGCTGACTATTCTCAAAAGGTGAAGCCACCGTAGTCCTCTGCTTCCGAAACTTGCCATTGCTCAGCTGCTTCTTCAATAAATTTCTGACCTAATCAGATATATTAAATCACAGGGCTACAGGTGTTGAAAACTTGCAGCGTGGAGGACATTTCTAAAGAAAAAACACTGGAGGTCTTCCTCTGGCAAACCCC